GAGAGCTCCCATTGGCTAACTCACATCATCTCAGTGTGTATACACTATTCAGCCTGTGGGCCAGTACAACGCAGTATGTCCATCCTCCACCTGCTAGGGCCAACATCCCATAAGGGCTCTGGTTTGTGTCCCAAATGCTCCACCTCTGAGCCAGCTCTCTACGTGCAGCCTGGGAAAGGAGTGAAGTATTGGATCAGTTCAGCCATTGTGGCCACGTGGGGGAGTGAACCAGCAGGTAGATCTTTCTCTGAGTTTCTCCTCTCTGTAAATCAGCCATTCCATCAAAAATAAATAAGTCCTTAAGAAAAAAATAATTATTCGGGCTGGACCAAGCCAGGAACACAGTCCATGTCTCCCCACTGGATGACAGGGACGTGAACATCTTAGGCTGTCACTGCCAACTCCAAGGCATCATGAAAGGATGCCAGTGGTTGAGCCAAGCCAGAGTGGGATCTTGGAATCAGGCACTTGGAAGTGGGACCTGGGCATTCCACCTGCCATCTTACCCATTAAATCGAATGCCTACTCCGTGACTATCCTGAAAGTATCTGGTGGAAGCGAACACCCTGTTTGATTCTTCATCTGTGGAGAGAATATTCTAGTCAGTCACGATTATGTTGCCAGTTAGGAATTTTTCATAAAGAGTTTGCTATGTTGAGAATGTTTAATTCTATTGTTTAAATGCTTTTATCCTGAAAATGTGTGCACTTCCATCAAACCCTGTTTCTGGGTCACCGAGAAGTGCATCAATCTTTTCCATTTAGACCATGAATGTGGTTGATAATGTATGTATGGTGTGCTATACTTCATTCCAGAGAAAAAAATTCAACTTGGCGTGGTGTTCAATAAAATCCATTTCAACATGCTGTTGAGTTCACTTTCTGTTAATGTGGCAGGATTTTTGTTGCATCTTAACCCATAATGAAATTCCGACTCAGAGTATTTCTGCCCTAGCTCTTTGCTGCTCTGTGAGTGTGAGCTCTGTGCCACCTTCTGCTTCCTTTCTCTAGCATCCCACATCCCAGCAAGTTCACTGTACTGAGATTGTTCTGTCCTGCGTGGCTGTCCATTGTGATCCTAATGTGTCAATAAAAGCAATAGTGACATTTGCACATAAAAAAGAAATTCCAAGTCATCTTTAAAAAAATTAATTTGATTTTTTATTGGAAAGACAGATATACAGTAAAAAGGAGACACAGAGATAAAGATCTTTCACTTGCTACTTCACTCCCCAAGTGGCCACAATGGCTAGAATTGAGCCAATCCAAAGCCAGGAGCCAGGAGCTTCTTCTGGGTCTCCCACATGGATGTAGGGACTGCAGGATTTGGGCCATCCTCTACTGTTTTCCCAGGCAACAAGCAGAGAGCTGGATGGGAAATGGAGCAGCTGGGACACGAACCTGTGCTGATATGGGACACGGCTGCATGCAACGTGAGGATTTAACCACTTGGCTACATAACCAGGCCACCAGATAATTTTTTGAGGATCATTGAAACGTGTCTAATAAACGAAAAATAAATACAAATCACAATCACAATTCTTTGAAGAAAAACTGAGCCCCTAGGAGGGCCTTTTTAGCAGCATTAGAGACAGTGCTGGAGATGCCCACCTCAGAGTGATCCAACCCCACCCCTGATTCCAAGCTTCCTGAGGATGGCACCAGGAGAGGCAGCAGAACGGTGGGAGTAGGGGGCTTCCCTCGGCCCAGGGAAGAGCTGGAGGGAATGCTTGGCTCCCGTGTTTGACCTGGCGCTGTCCTAGCTGTTGTTCACAAGTGGGTGGGCGGTCTTTCTCTGTTTCTGTCTCCTACTTTCAGTGGGATAAAAATGTTTTAAAAGATTGAACCACTATATAAATTAATTCTTACACAAAAATTAAGCTTGAAATACACTATTAAACTTTTTAAAAGATCATAAGCAACAGAAATCTAATCCTTATTGTGTGCATTTTGCACTTAGATATACAGGCACATTTTTATTCACAGAACTTTGAAAAAACTAGAAACAAAATGATGATTAAGAATAGATACCTCTGGGTCTTGTGTGATAGCCTAGTGGCTAAAGCCTTCACTTTGCATGCACTAGGATCCCCAATGGGAGCTGATTCATATCCCAGCAGCCTGGGAAAGCAGTGGAGGACAGCCCCAAAGCCTTGGGACCCTGCACCCGTTTGGAAAACCTGGAAGAAGCTCCTGGCTTCCCATCAACTAGGCTCTAGCCATTGTGTCCTCTTGGGGAGTGGATCAGCAACAGAAGATCTTTCTCTCTGGATATCTAGTTTTCCAATAACAAAATAAATAAATCTTAGAAGAGAGAACAGATACCTCTGAATGCTACCCAAGGGTCAGTTTTTTTTGTGTGTAAGTTAGAAGTGAAAGCATATTAAACCTGGTTCAACATTTCTAAAAGTTAATTATATAATTAAAGTTGCTGATGACGCTGTGTTAGAGTTTTAGAAGAAAATTATGCAAATGTAACAATCACATGGGGGTGTTGTTTCCTCTAACTGCCTGACTAGTGGTCTCCTGGGTAATACTTTGACTATGTTCTCCAGGGGTGGGTTCCCCCAGGACTTTGTGCCATAAATGTGTGACACAATGGATTCTGTGATTCAGATTTTACTGAGTTTATTTGGAAAGTAAATATTTTGGTTCAATTTTTTTTTTTGGTTAAAATTGTGTTTCCCTGAAGTGTTCTGAAGATTCCTACTGCACTTCTTCATGTTTGCTGCTGTTTTTTTTTTTTTTTGTGACTTTCCAGCAAGAGTCTATTCTTCGTCTCTCTCAAAATTTAAAAAGAATTATTCATAAATGAATAAGCCAAATTCCTTTGTACTTGGGTGAGTTGATTTAGTTCTTCATTTCACTTTAACAGCAAGACAACATCTTTTAGTAACAATTGCAGGAGGCAAGCCCATGTATAAATCTATTTGCTGTGATAACGTCTGAGTTAGATTCTCTACAAGTGTTTAATTCCTTATTTTGCATAGAATTTGTGGTTATTAATTGGCCTACAGAAACTTTGCATTGCTTTATAAATTGCAATGTGATTCTTATTATGCAAATTTTCCTTTTTGAATGATACAATCATTTGCTGTAATATCATGCGCAATACCATATAGTATTCCTCTGATTAAGTCTCAAATGAAAAGCATTGAGGGTAGGAACTATATTTTATAGTTTTATTTTGAAAGTGTCTATTCCACTAATGAATGCACGGTCAAGGCGCAATGAGAAAATCAGGAAAGATCCAACTATAAAAAGAGAAAATCATTGAACCCTTAGGGGTCAACTAGAAAGAAATTAGAAAGAGATGATTGTTTTTAAAAATGTATTTAGTGTATATTTTATTTAATCATAGTTGTTTTTAAGATTTCCTTATATAAAGTATGTAAAATGTCATATCAAATTTTCATACACACACTATATATATATACAAAAATCCACAAATTTTTAACATGAAACAGAAAAAATCCTATATTTCTAAAAATAAGCTAGTTAAATAAATGTGTATATCCTTTCAACAGGACATAGAATCACTGAAGTATTTTTTTTTAAATGGTGTGACATAATTGCTTAGGGTAAATTAGGCTAGACCTTTGTTTCTAAATTTTGTTTTTCTTCTTCCTGAATCTGGGAGAAAGGAGGAGATAAGAGGAGAAGCCAAATCCAGCCTTCCAAGCTCCTAAGTACCCAGAGCTGGGGAATGGCCACCCAGTGCCACCCCAGGGTCCTGGATGTGGAGCTTGTTCCCCGGGTTCTGCTCAAGCAGTTTTGATTGTCCTGAAATGCTGCTACCTGCTCCCAGGATGAAGAAACCTGGTGAACAGTTGCCCCAGATCTCATGCTATAAATGCAGTCTGTGGGAGGTAGATTGCTAAGCTATTTATGTGGGCAAGATATGATGATAGAAATGAGCTGAATAATTCTCAGAAAATACATTTGCTTTGATAGCAATGATTTCTCTTTCAACCCAGGGCTCCTGAGGTTTTTTTTTAGTATAGTCTGGGGTGGGGTATGGGGAATGCACATTTTGAAAGAACATGCTTATTTGAAAAATTTTATGAGTTTCACATTAAATGTTTAAAAATTCAGGAAATAATTAAGTGTAGAATAATTTCAAACCACCGAAAGAAAATTAAAGAACTTGAAATCAGCCATTGAATGAGCATCTTGGTGATGTGTTAAAATATCTATCTATTCATCTGAATATCTACATTCAGTCACATGCAAGAAACAAGAGAGGTATAGCATCCTGAATAACAACTAGACAGAATGCAGTGAATATTTCATTACCATCAGCTGGCAATAAAGAGCAGAACTATGTGCAATGACATTCTCTTTATGTCTATTGTTATTTTACTTATCAACAAGCAAAAGGGTAGTTCTGAGAAAAAATAGTATAGCATTTGTTTAGTATACACTGGCTGTTGAGGCATTTTAAAGAGACACAGGACTGTTAGAAATGTGATAGAATGCATCTTTTCTCTCTTAGCCATCTGATCTTCTAATATTATCTTTAATGCACAGGTCCCGTGAGATATCCTTGTAGCTTACTGATTGCTAGCATTTACACTGTGTCTCAGGGCAGGGTTTACATCGTGTGCACTGGATTTGGACCAGCCTTATTTCTTCAGCATTGAACACTTTTGCCTTGATACATGCAGTTCATAGGAACTAGAGTATATTGGCCTACGTCAATGCACATTTATTTATTCAGTACGTGTTCCAACATGCCTACTCCGTCCTGGTGCTCTGTGCTTGCTCTCCTGAATTTTACTTTATTGTAAGCAAACAATGGAAAATATCAAGTGACTTTTAAAGTACATATAATGTTATATGTTTCCTGAAATTGGTATTTTGGGAATTTTTAGTAGATAATGGTTGAAAGTATGATCATGCCTATGAGGAATGAATCAGAGATAATTATTTTTTCTGGAGATGAAAACGAAAGAGATGAGTTCATTGGAGGGATTGATTGTGCTTTTATTTGGACCAATGATGCAAAAATTGAAACAAAATAAAAGCATTGAAATTCTATATAACAAAATCTCTTTGATCATCGGAAGGGAATACAATGAAGATATGTATGTGACATACTACAAATGAAATGCATATATTATAATATTGTTTCCATTCCAAATCACTAACAATATTTTTGTAACTCAAGAAAAAGTAGCACATTTCATTGATCAAGTAAATATTGTTTGTTCTTACACAGGGAAATCTAAAATAGGTGATTGGAGACTTGTGATTGGCTCATTCATAGCTAGAGGAACAATAGTATAAAACATGAACTTGATAATTTACTGAGCCTTTTTTATTACTTCAAAGGCTGCATAGTTTAACAGGTCAGGCAAAGAAGAAACTGTTGAAAGTTATGTAAACACAAATATTTTCCCACAAACCCATTGCCATTCACTACAGATCCATATAGAAAATTTAGACTTGGCGTTCTGATGGACAACTGTATTTATTGTTCTATTTGTCCAAATTCATATTTTATGTTTAACTGAACTATTAGCATATTATAACTTAGTTGAATTTAAGTATTTTCCATAATACTCTAAGGATAATTGCTAAACCTTTCTAACTTTTCTAAATTCAGTCTGCTTTATCCAAATATCTTTTCACGTCTCTAAGCAAATTTTTCTTTTTCTCCCTAGGACTCATGAAAATCAGTCTTCTGCTGGAGTCACCTTCATCCTGGTTGGATTCTCAGAATACCCGGAGCTGCAGGTGCCCCTGTTCCTGGTGTTCCTGACCATCTACACGGTCACTGTGCTGGGGAACCTGGGCATGATTCTGATCATCAGGATCAATCCCAAACTCCACACCCCCATGTACTTTTTCCTCAGTCACTTGTCCTTTGTGGATTTCTGCTACTCTACGGTAGTCACACCCAAACTATTGGAAAACCTGGTTGTGGAAGACAGAACCATCTCTTTTCCAGGATGCATTCTGCAATTCTCTTTTGCGTGCGTATTTGTGGTGACAGAAACCTTCATGTTGGCGGTCATGGCCTATGACCGCTTTGTGGCCGTCTGCAATCCTCTGCTGTACACCGTGGTGATGTCTCAGAAACTCTGCTGCTTGCTGGTGGCTGCGTGTTACTCTTGGGGAATACTCTGTTCTCTGACACTTACTTATTTCTTGTTGAAATTATCTTTTAGAGGCAATAACATCATCAATAACTTTGTCTGTGAGCATGCTGCCATTGTTGCTGTGTCCTGCTCTGATGCCTATATTAACCAGAAGATCATTTTAGTCTCTGCTACATTCAATGAAATAAGCAGCCTTTTCATCATTCTTACTTCCTATATTTTTATTTTTATCACAATCCTGAAGATGTCTTCTACTGGAGGGCGCCACAAAGCCTTCTCTACATGTGCCTCCCACCTGACCGCCATTACTATTTTCCATGGAACTATCCTTTTTCTTTACTGTGTTCCTAATTCCAAGAGTTCGTGGCTCATGATCAAGGTAGCCTCTGTGTTTTATACAGTGGTCATCCCCATGCTCAACCCACTGATTTACAGCCTCAGAAACAAGGATGTGAAGGAAACAGCCAGGAAATTTATCAGTACCAAGTTATCATGTCAAATGATATAATATGTATAATGTTTATTCATTAATTTTCAGGAACTTCGTATAGTTTTTCTAGAGATCTGAATATTTGAATACTCAAAGATTATCATTGCAGATAACTCTTAAAGACAATATAGTAAAACAAAAGGTTCTCCATCTTTGTAATATGCCTAACGCAAACCTGCATAAGATAAACATTTAATTCTACCAGGAGGAGCTGATATGTGATAGCTGCATTTAAGATATATCTCTGACTAATAAATACTGAATATTTTTGTTCACACTATATACAGCTAGTGCAATTTCCTGGGTCATTATCTATATGATACTAAAAAATAAGAATGCTATACTTTAGAAGTAGTTATTTCAAGATGTAAATTTATCATTAATACTTGTTTCTTTATGTGTAAATTGTTCATTGATGTATAATAAAATGTGTGTTGAGATTCCTACACTGAAACATCTGAAATCTGGCATGCTCTAAAATGTATTATTTTTGAGTACCAATTTTATGCCATAAGAGAATAATTTCAGCTGGCCACATGTGACAGTCCTTAGTGAAAAGGCAAGTTCAACAAACATATGCAAAATTGTCCCCAAACTATCTTTACAAAATACAAAAGCCTTGGATCTCATTCTCAAGCTGTCTCCAAATGTATATGAAATTATTACAAAATCCGAAAAAGTCACCAACTCAAACTATTTTCATCTAAGAGATGCTACTCGTGTTTGATCATCACCACATTTCATCTGTATGAAACATCAGATAGTCATGTATTTTGTTCTGTTTGTTATACAGTTGGAGAAACTTTCATGTAATCATCTCTGAGATTAATGGTATAGGAATACACCTGTCTTTTGTAGGACTGAAAGTTATGTGGACAAAAGCTTGGAATCGAAGGGGAAAACAGAGTTACGCTCTAGGAACTGGTGGTATGGCATAGTGCATTAAGTCACAGCCTTCAATGCTAACATCCTACATGAAAACCTGTTTCCTGACCAAACTGTACCTTGACTCTGCTTGCATACCTGTGACATCACTTAAGCAAATGGGCTTCTGTTGCCATGTGGGATACCTGGATAGAGTTTTGGCTTCTGGCTGTCTTAGCTCTTTGGGCAGTGAATCATATGGAGGAATCACCTTTTTTTCTCTTTCTATCTTTGTTTCATTTTCCATGTGTCTCTTTTTAGCTCTTTGTATCTCATTCAAATAAATAAATCTTTAAAAAATTTAATGTGTCGATGTTGATGGAAAATTTTAGTAAATAGGAAAATGTTCTTTTATATTGTAAGTCCTAGTTTGTCAAAAAGAACCCATAAATTGATTAGCTCTTTGATTTGCTTACTAAAATGACTGTTAATTATGGCTATCGCGTCTAATTAAGGTTTTTATCTCAAAAAAAGATACAGTCTTGATAAATTTCAACTTGTTACCATTCCAATATAACTGCAGACCGTAAAAATATTACTGGCCTTAACAATAAACTGTGAATCTTATACTTTCAAAAAATGTATAACTTTATTTATCATAAATATTCATTCATAAACTGTTTAGCTTATCTACTTGTTTGTTTACACTTGGTCTTAGCCAAAAGGCTGAGAAACGATTACTTGTTTGTTTAATAATACATGGCAATATTACTAACAAGTCATGCTACATAAATATAGAATTATATAACTCATTGTGTGTTTAGTAGCCAAGAAATACGGTAGTACAAAATACATTGTATTTTGCACATGCTTTCAGTGAATCCCAAAAGATTAGATACCACATGTTTGCCTTGATTTAACCTGTAATTTTTGTATGGTTGTTATTTTTTGAACCTGTCATTGATACTGTCTCAACCCAGATGTTTCGAAGAATGGAACTTGCATTATTTTTAACATATTGTTTACCCAATACTATGTCAATTAATTCCATAATGTTGTATATTGATACTGAGGCCTTGTTGGGGCTTTTAACTGACCGGATCTTTACTCTGTTAGACCTATCTTCAGACCATAGAAGGTCTCCCCAAGAGGCCACTGAACTTATCTGGACAATAAGATGCTGAACTTTATGCTAGGCATGTGTTTGCAAGCAATGAATCTCAACTGAACTTGAACTATGGTTATGCAACAAGGTGAAGGAATCCACCATGGGGGGAGGGGTATGGGAGGGGTGGGGGGAATCCCCAGCGCCTATAAAACTGTACTACATAATACAATGTAAGCAACAATAAAAAAAAAAAGAAAATTTTAAATTATGCTCTTTTAACTGACAGATTACACGTAATAGGCAAATCACATTTTTTTTTAATGCTGCATTTAAATTATGGACAAGGAGAAAGAAAGAGAGGGAGAGGAGAAAGATCTTTCTCACACTGGGAATTAGGAAAGAATCCTTTATTGCCGATGGCCAAGAGAATGCTCATGCCTTCCAAGTTCTATCAGCTTCAAACAGAAGCAAGGGATGGGATTTCAAGGCTGGAAATCACAATTGCATATCTGAGGGAATAAACATTAGCAAGCAACAGGGGTATTCCATCTGGCCCACATCGTTTTCAAAGGGTGACTTACAGGTGCTGATGTTGCTTGTGGTGGGTCTGGTTGACAGGTGCAACTCTGCCCATCATTACAAAGCAGGATGTGGTAGATACATCTCCCAGGCCAAAACCAGGTTATGGAACACTCTCGCAAACCAGAGAGGGCTGCAAAGGAGCAGCAAATAGTGTCCACTCGCACTATGAAATTACTTAAGCTGTTGCTTCATTATCAGCTGGATCATTCCAAAAATGGCCAACTAATATCTAGATCTGGTCAGGCCAAAGGTAGCAGAGACAGGAACCACCCAGGTTTCTCAAGTGAGTGACAAGAGACAGAGGACTTGGGGCATCTTCCTGCTTTTCCCAGTACATTAGCAGGGAGCAGGATCAGAAGTAGAGTATCTCGCAGTCCAACTGCTAGACCAAGATGGGATACCAAGTAGAGGCTAAAACCACGTGCCCACAAATCTGGTCCTTGGAAAATTAAAATTTGAAGCTTAAAATTCTTAAGCTTCTCTGTTGCAGGAGAAAAAGAAAAACTGAAAAGAAAGGTAGATATAATGAAATTTTAGAAAATGCACAAATTTAATTAACACATTTCCAAGAACTGTAAAGTTGTTATTTTAGTGCACATACACATAGCTTGAAAGATGCGTGGTTGCATATTTAGAGTTTTGCTCTATTCATTTCTTCGTATCATTTACATGATATTCCTTGTTAAAATTGTTGATGTTGGCTTTGAATAGATACAACTTTTAGGTTTTGTTAATGAAGACTGGCAAGCCTTTAGTGAAGATATTCACCACAGTAAAGAGAGAATGAACAGAATAAAGAGTCACTGGAAAAATAATTATAATCTGAAGGCATACTACTCCTTATATATATTCATTTTCATGTTATGCTTCCTAGTACACAAACTAGGAAATCTATTGTTAGACCATTGCCTTAAGTTATGTGTATTTCAAGGGAGGTAGGTGATGATTTTTAATGTATAAATAGCCCTGCCTTTTATTTATCAAATTAGAAACAATAAAATATCCCTGGAAAAGTAAAACCGGAATGGAAATGGATGATAATGGTGCCCCGTGCTGGGGTGTACAAGGGGGCCTGTGGACAGGGACCCTCTGCACCTAGAGGTCTGTTCCAGCCCAGGGGAAGGGCTGCTGATGCCCTGTGCATTGGCCAACTGTCCTGCTTTCATGTCCTGTTGGCCTCACCCATGTCAGAGAGGATCAGCTGATACTCCCTTGAGATGCATTTTCACACAGTGGCGTTCTTTTGACTCACGGAGCTTAAAGAGAAAATGTCTGATCCTCTTCACCACTGACTTGGTTATAATCTCGAGGGTTGAGAAAGTTGGTCTTCTGAGGAAAGTACTAACTGCAACACCATTCTCCAATGAAATCTCTCCTTTTGCAAAGCAAGCACATGCACAAGGCTAGTGATGTCCAGGCTTCTTTGCACTGGTAGGCAATGAAGAATTCTACAGAGCTTTGCAGATTGCATGATCAAGGTACGCCTAGATCCACAACGACCACATGGCCTCTCTAGACATTTGTCCTTTTATACTTCCAAATTTTAATCCCCAGATCTTCAGTCAACTGACACATCAGCAAATGCTTGGAAAGGAAATACCTGTCCAGGTCTGAGTTTCTCTACTCTACAGGATGCTTGGCTTTCCCACGAGAGTTTTTATGCATTATATGTGTGAATATCCCATTTCTTTTCCCTCTCCCTTTCTGAGATTGCTGGGTGGAGGAATTTCTAGGCATTCTATTCCTGAAACTCCTTCCAGAACTTTATCAGTACAGTGTTGCTGTGCCCCTTCCAAGTTGCCCATAGGAGAGGGCTGGTCTCACTTCATGAGGTTGCTGAACAAGGGTAAGACTGTTGAAATGCAAATGATGGTCCACTTCCAAGATTTATATATACTTTTTTTTCCATTTAAATTTTCTCATTTCTGTTTTTTTGACCCCTCTCGCACAGGTAGGTTAACGTCTTTCTTGCAAACTAACATGGCTGTTCACATCTTAAGATGTGGTGTAGGGCCCAGCTTGGTGGTCTAGCAGCTAAATTCCTCATCTTGAAAGTGTCGAGATTGCATATGGGTGCAGGTTTTAATCCAGGTGGCTCTGCTTCTCATTCAGCTCCCTGCTTGTGGACTGGGAAGACAGTTCAAGATGGCCCAAGGTTGTGGGACTCTGCACCTGTGTGGGAGACCTGGAGGAAGTTCCTGCTCCTGGCTTCGGATCGGCACATCACTGGCTGTTGTGGTCACTTGGGGAATGAATCATCAGATGAAAGATCTTGCTTTTTGTCTCTCCTCTCTGTATATCTGACTGTGTGATAAAATAAAAAATAAATCTTTTAAAGAAAAGATGTGGTGTAGGTAGTCACACCTATGCAATAGGTTAGTAGTCCCCTATGCCCTAAATACACTCTCCAGTCATGTGATATGCAGATTAGCTACCACATTGAGAGCAAATTCAAACTTTTTTG